GGAAACAGTAGATAAAAATATTGTAAAAAGAAAGAAAAAAATTGTACAGCTGCCAGAGATGGTGGAAAATGATGATTAATACTTCTTGATTAATTCTGGTGCTGAATTAGTGAGGTACTGAAAAACAAATGTTTTAAATGCAATGGAGAACAATATTTCAACTGAAGAGTAACTTAATAATAGCATTAAGCTAACATGATACCAATAGGTATCCAAAGCATAGAGAACAAGGTGAAGAAGATAGAACATGATTGGAGAAAGGAACTGGCATCAGTAGACAAACCAACCTTGTCAAATAGCTGATGTGAGAGGTAGATAACCAGAGCACAGGTATAGTGATGAAAAGTTGTTACTAGTCAATAATACCAGAAAGGATTGTTAGTTATTACCAGTCACAAACTGAATGAGTCAGCAATACAATACTATTGCCAAAAAAACATCGTGTAAATAGAGTGAGGTGGTAGTTTATGCTTAACTGAGGTGTCTATTAGACTGATATGGGGGGGGGTGGGGGGGTGTACTTCTCTCCCCTCAGTTAAAAATGCAAGCTGTCTGGGAGGAATTCAATTCAAGCAAAAACATGGGGTAAACAGAGGAAAAAGGATCGCAGATGTCTGGTTGGATCCAGCAAAATATAGCCTTAAGAAATCAGCGAATCCTGTTTGTCCTTCTGTCTTCTTTGTCTCCTTTTTTGACGTCTTGCTTTTGATCACCTTGTTCATCAAATGTAGTAGGAACAATCTCTTCTGTATAGTTGCTGTAGTCCAGTCTCCTTTAAAACAATTGTAGAAATAATTTTCTTTCTTGATCTGTCCTATGCCCTATCTCTCAATGTCTTGTGTATGGTCTAAAAGTGCTCTACAGAAAACAAAGAGAGTCTCTAATATAGTAAAATAATACAATACACCATTTAGGGGTAAAGTCAGCCAACTTTAAAATGGTCTGCCTGCTTATCTGTCAAGGAAGGCCAAAGACATGGTTGGTATTGTAACATCTACATTAATCACTGTTTAATCAGGGATGACTTATTAATATTTGTGATTTTTTTTTTTCCATTTCCTACTCTTGTTTTTCACAGCAAATCATCTCTACTGTCTGCTCCTAAGTCTGTAATTTGTGTGTTATCTTAGATGTAGGAATTTGGAGCTCTTTGTGTCAAGCCAAATCTTTCTGGTTCTTTGTGTACAAAAATCCTTAAGTTGTAGCTCTTTTTACCCATTCACCCAGCTAAAATTAACTTCTTGGCTCTTGTTCTACATTTTGATTACTGCAGCATCTTTTTCTCCACCTTTGACACAGTCTTGCTCAACTACATTTGTAACATGTTGGCAAAAATTGATTTGCTGATAAATTCCTTTACCTTGTAGGCTCAGAAGAACATTTTGTCAAGATTGGCCATGCCTGGATGGAATTTTTACGATACACCAGGAAAAAAGATGTGCAATGGGAAGGAACAATGCCAGATGTCATGTTTTCAGTCCCCTGAAATACAAATTATATTTCTTTCCCTAAAGGTCATTGCTCAAAGAGCTGAGGCATAACATTGAATCATAATCGCATTATCATCTTGTATGTCTCTTGTCTTGTGCCTAGATTGTAAGCTTAGTGCCCGAGATCCATTCTTTCTCTGCCCCTACCAGAGATCTGTGTGAGTATAGCAGAGTTGTGGCCCTTGATCAGGTTTTCTGGGTACAGTGGTGATGCCAGTAATAAAAGTGATTTACTAGATGTGAGTGGAAAAACTGAGAGGCTTCTCTTCAGAGCAGAGTGGACTGGGCCTGTTACTACCAGGTTTTGGGAATAGTTTCTCAGTAAGGCACTTGCACATTTGCCCCTTAGTGTTTCCCTTTTAAAATGAGTAACAAGAGTGGAATGGAACTTCTGTTGTGTTTAGCGTAAGCCTGAGAAATCAAAGATGTCCTTTTGGGAGCACTTCTGGTTTTGCTCCCAGAAGGGATGGACTGGATGAGGTAATCATATCTTCTGCTTCGGTGTTGCATGTTGCACAATTCCACAGTTACTCCACAGATCTGAAGCAAGATAACTGCTGAAGGAAAGAAGGGTAAAAGAAATCGGGCAATCTCTGTGGTGGTGTGTTCTGGCTGGACTGCACCTCCAGCTAACTAGAGGCCTTTGCTTTCCCTCTGTGCACCCCAACCTCTTTCAGCTGCAGGAAGGCGTTAACACCCGAGCGATGCGTGGATGGAAGAGAGGCCGTTTCTTGCTCAGAAGCATCAGGAACTCCTGAAAGAGGCTGCAAAACCACACCTAAATGAAATGTCTTAGGTTGGAAAAACAGCAATGGAGTCATTAGAGCTGTTTTGTGGAGGAGATGATTAAGCACCAGCAGTACCTAAGCAAAGTGCCTGCATGGTAGTGGGGAGAATAGTCTGTGATGGAAGTCAAACTTTAGGTCTTCCATAGCAAAGTCTTTCCTTCAAAGTTACTAAGGCAGACTCTTAGCTATTTGAATACTCATTTTTCTTTGTGTTTCTCTACTAGTTGAAATCCCACGCATTAACTCTAAAGAATTTTTTGCCTTTACTTACCAGAACAATTATTTAGGGAAGTACTGTGAATGCTTACTACCTCTTTTGTTCATGCAACCACACTTTTATTTTTATATGTATATAAAAATAGCCCATATATATGGGTTTTTTCCCCCCTCCTTTAGCTTGACTAATTAGGATCTACAAACTATAATTTGAACTAAACTGAAACGTCAGGTTAACTTGCCTTCTCTCTGCTTAGTTGTTAATATTTTTAGTGTAATGGAAAATAAATTAGTGTGGTGATGGTAATACATGAACTATCACTTGGTGTTGTGATAGATGGCCTGCCATGCTGCGTAATGTGTAAAACTTGCTACTTGTTTCACGTATTTAAAATGATGCTAAGTTGTATTGCAATCTTTGTGCTTTTGTGTGGGTTTTCTCCTCTGTGTGTGATTTGGGTTTGTTGGGGTTTTTTTGGGGGGTGGGGATGTTTGGTTGGTGTGGTTTGTGTTTTGTGGGGTTTTGTAGTTGGCTTTTTCCCCTCCGACAAACGTTCTGGTTATTGATTCTTAAGTTAGCATTTAACTTTGGAATGATCGTAGAACTTGTTTTGCTACCTGCTAGGTTTGCCTTCTAATTATCTATTTTACTATATGTATTTCATAATATCTCCACCCACCTCTGCTCCAGCATGTTAATCTTTCTTCTCTGCTGACTTCAGAGGCTCTGCATTTAGTAGAGCTAGTCTTGTTCATTTGCTAGCTGTCATGCAGAAACTGGTGGTTCTTGGAGCTCAATGCTCCTTAAGGATCAGTTTTCTCATCCTCATTGACCCCATGGATCTTATGGTCCATTTGGCCATTTGATTAGTTAGGATGTCTTTTTGTTTTCTTTTTAGTAAAGAGACTCCATGGGCTGTTCCTGTGTGGGTGTTTCTCCTGCAAATATGCTTGTTTGTCACAACATGTTGGGAAGACAAGAGGCATATATACTCTCCTTCTCTGTGTGAAATCTTACTAGTCTTACTGCTTTGTGTATCTCTGCAACAGGGAGAAGTTAAGAGATGGAGGATGTGGTGATTGCAGGCATAGCAGGAAAGCTGCCAGAATCGGAGAACTTGCAAGAGTTTTGGGAGAATCTGCTTAATGGAGTTGATATGGTCACAGAGGATGATCGGAGGTGGAAACCAGGTGAGCTTTTATTGTCTCTCCTTCCGGAGTCCTGAGTTCTGAGTGTTTTAGAGGAATTATCCTATGAAAGGGAAGGATTTATATGATGTGAAACCCTGCCAGAGCTTCTGAATTCGCTTGTGGTATATCATTGAAAATTCAGGAACAGAACGCTTTTATGAAGGTCTCGTGCAAGATCTTTTATAATCACGTCCCATGCAGTAGTAGCTTATAAATAATGCGTAGCTTACTTCCAAATAAAAGAACACTGGCAGAGCAGCTAAGCAACGTGAATCCTGTACCTGCTGTTGATAGCTGTGGCAGTAAGAAGACTGACATTTTTCTGGGTTCAGAAGTAGCATGGGGACTCTGGTCCTGTGATTTATGGCTTTTTACAATGTTCTTTTCTGTCTGATTGTCTTTCTGAAGTGTTTTGCATGTGTCTATCCAATTCAAGCTAGTGATTTGCAGAAGTGAAAAGTAGCTTTTGTTTTTCTTCTAACTGGTGATTGTCTGGAGCCACTGATTTGGACTCTGTTTATGTGCTTGGTACAATTTGCCATTTGCCAAAGCAAAAATGCTTAGACTAGATAGATGTCTTTTGCTGTCATATCTGGAAGAGTATTAAAAGTGATAATTGCTTTCATTAATGTGGTGTTCTCATTTGAAATGAGATTGAGAGGTGGGTAAGTAGATATTCATGGAGCACTCTAGGTGATCAACAGGGAAGTGAGGTTTCATGTGTAATTGAGAATTGGCTGTGGTCATTCTGTACTTTGTTTCAGCTGGTAGCCGCTTCAAAACTGATACATTCTGTGATGTGACTCTGAATTTTTCTTCTCAGGAATTTATGGACTGCCCAAGAGAAATGGAAAGCTCAAGGACATAAGCAAATTTGATGCATCCTTTTTTGGGGTTCACCCCAAACAAGCTCATACAATGGATCCTCAGCTTCGCTTGCTGTTGGAAGTGTCTTATGAAGCTATTTTGGATGGAGGTAAGCAGTTGAATAACCGAAGAGGGAGAATTGTGCTGTATTGTCTCTGTGCAGCAGGTGCAGACATGCAGCTGTGTGATGAGATTTCTAACAAGAGAAAGCCATCACACTAGGGAGGAGACTGAAGAACTGGTATGGGGATTAGAACAAAGCTGTTTTCTCTAGAACTCAAACTAGGAAGTCTATGCTGACTGCCAGCGAATACCTACTTGCATCATATGCTACAACCAGTATGACACAAACAGTCAACAGTTCTAGAGCTTTTGTGTGTTCTGCTTTACCCTAATATTCCGTAATAGATCCCTTTGTTAAAAGCATATTTGTAGTGCAAAAGGAAGGGGACTTGGAGAACTCTCATCCATGGCCTAAAAGAAAGGCAGATGGCCTGATACATTCCTGTCTGTTGGATGGGTATATGAGAAATTTGTGGCGTTTGATATGTTTCTATAGAAGGTTGGCCCATGAAGTGTACTTTCAGAAACAGGAGCCTCTCCTCCATCATTGCCAGTGTCTTAAGCTTTTGAGTTAGTTACCCACAGAGCAAAAAAGTTTTCTTCATGTTAATTGGTTTCATGTCTAAGCATAAGCACATGGGAGAAAAAGTTGGAACCACCTTGCTAGAACTGACTGACTAAAATTAACACTTGCTCCTCTGCTGCCAAGCCTCAGTCTAGGGGCTTGAATGTTCTGCTTGTCTCCAGGACTCCTGAAGCACAGAGAAGAAAGAGCAGAGATTGCTGCGAGTTGAGCTTGCTATGCAGTTTTTTAGAGTAGAGTTGTTGGTTGTTCTGGTTGTTGGCTTTTGTGCTTAGAATTTTCCTTTCTGTCTTGTACTCCAGATCTGGGCTTTGTGTATGGCTAGAGATAGATATTTGTATGCTCACGTGACATTCCAAGCACTGCTTTTTTTTTTTGCTTTTTTTTTTCCTCCCCTTCAGTCTGCTCCTTTTCCCGGCACTGGAAGTCAGCTGTTAGCTTATCTGATCAGCATTTCTGTCATTTTTGTAGTCCATACACTTTTTTTTTTTTACATAGTACTCTAGCAATGCTCAGCTAAGCTGAAAAGCAGAAGAGTATGTTCTGGCCAAAAGCTAATACCAAAGTTCTGATGGACTCTGCAGTAAGACTTGTAAGGTCTGCAACTGAAACAGATAAAAGGTAACTATAGGTAAGGGAACAATGCTGCAGGCCTGCCAGAAAGGGACAGCAAGTAGTATTTCCTGAACTGGTGCCAGTGAACCTGGTATCTCCCCAGTTTGCCCCTTGTTGTAAGTTTGTCTACTGTAATCTGCCTTCCGATATCCCCATAGGTATTAGTCCAGCCACCCTCCGTGGCACAGACACAGGTGTATGGATTGGTGCCAGTGGGTCAGAAGCTGCTGAAGCCCTTAGCCAAGATCCAGAAGAGCTTTTGGGATACAGTATGACTGGCTGCCAGCGTGCTATGCTTGCCAATAGGATTTCCTACTTTTATGACTTAACAGGTAAGTGCCCCCAAACCTGTCGATGCTGATCAGCAATTGCAATTTGAGCGTGACTGTACCACAGTTTCTGTAGAGGAGGGGGGTGGATATGACGACGTAGACCCCTTTTTGGGATGAGAAGGTAGCATGCAACTATTATAAGAAGGCGTGTGAGAAGCAGAAAATGTAGCTGTGTGATAAGACTCATTATAAAGCTTTGTAACTGAGTTGCTGCTGATGGGCATATCTGGCAGTCATCTGGCAGATAATGCTATCAGGAGACCTTCATAAAAAGGCCTAGGTCCTTTCTGGCCTTTAGACTGCTGTTTAGTATCACGCTATAGAAGTCAGCTAGCCCAGAGACAAACGGGCTGAACAGTTGGCTATTTTTGAGCAAAGTGTAAGAAGTGGGAGAGCTAACAAAATGATGTGATTGAAGACAGACATGACTTGGACCATGTGTGGCATTGAAGAGAGTGGAGGGATGGGAATTGCTCTGAAAAGCAGCAGAGAGCAGAGGAAATGGCAAGGGTGGCACCAGGAAGGGAGAGGGATTTTTATTGTTAAGAACAGGGAAATAGGTGAGACCTGCTTGTGAAGCTATAATATCTCTTTCTGATGGGGGTAGGTGGAATTTTAGAAAATACTGTTAAAGCCAAGCTGTTTGCAATTTTTTTCCCACCTTTCTCATACCTTGTTACCTGGTGAGCAGAGGTGCTAATTCTTGTTTCCATTGTATCAGGTTTACCTGTTATATTCTGAAGCAATTTTTTTTTTCATATGTTATAATCCCATCCTGTGGTCTTTGGAGAGCAACACTAGGAAATAAACAGTAAAAAACAGCTTTTTTTTGTTTGTTTTCCCTTTGTTCCCTAAGGACCAAGCATAACTATTGACACAGCCTGCTCCTCTAGTCTCATCGCTCTGGAAAATGCTTATAAGGCAATTCGTCATGGGCAGTGCAGTGCAGCCCTAGTAGGAGGGGTCAACATTTTGTTGAAACCCAACACTTCTGTGCAGTTCATGAAACTGGGTATGCTTAGTCCTGATGGTGCCTGCAAGGCTTTTGATATTTCAGGTAAGGCAGTAATACAAAAGATTGTCGTGTTGTATGAGAGGAACTTGTGGTGGAGTCTGTGGCCAGATACTCTTGTAATACAGCAAAGAGCTGGCCCCTTAGTTGTTCCTAGATAGACTGTTTGGAATATCCTGGTCCTGATCTGTGTTGCATGCTCTATTGAACCTGGAAAACTAACTTTGGGGAAGGAGCTGTATGGTTCATTCCTCAGCTGCTGGGGAGAGGAAATAGCTGCCTCTTGATGGAAACTTTCTGTCATAATTTGTGATAAGCACCAAGCCTTTCTAGGATTTTTTTTTAAAGAAACAGATGTGTCATACCCTCAAAGCAGTCTGTTCCAAGAGGTAGCTCAGGAATGGGAGAACCTTACTGCATGGTGTTTTGCAACTTTTTTTCAAAGCAGAGTGGAACTCGTGACTCGTTCTCTCTCTGCTCTTAGGAAATGGATATTGTCGGTCTGAAGCTGTTGTTGTCGTTCTCTTGACCAAGAGATCTATGGCTAAGAGGATTTATGCCACAATAGTCAATGCTGGAAGTAACACCGATGGCTTTAAGGAGCAAGGTAGGCCTTGAGCCTCTGAAAAGTGACATACTACACAACTGTTCAGTCTAGAGTCTTTGTCATCAAAAACGGGCTGGTTTGGGGTTCTTTAGATGTGTGAAGGTTTTTTTATTGTTGGGGTTTTTCTTTTTCTGTTCTGGTAAGACAAAGTTCAGGATCCTGTTTTATAAAGAAGTTGAAGGAGGCAAGTGGTAGTTTCTACTGTACAAAGTAACAGGAATGTCCTGTTGCTAGTTTAGCCTTCCTCAGGACATCTCTACAGTAACTTCTGCACTGATGGTAGAAATGTAGGTGATGTTATGACTGCAAGGCTCTTTCGCTACTGCTATCCCATTCTCCCACTCTCCAGTTATGGAGACATCAAGTTTCACGTGTTCTGCTTCATATAGACATCTCCTAGTATTCTGTTAACCTACTCTCAAACTTCTATAGAAACTGTGGCAGACTTAAAAGTACAAGTATGTACGCTGTATAAAGCCACAGCAAGTTCATAGTGCATAGTATTGTAGGTATCTTTCCATGCTAGTCTAACTTGTTGCTTTAGGTCCACTTCTGGTTCCTCTGCTCTCCTTACAAAGTGCTTGACAGGCTGCTTATGTTTGGTGCTAAGGACATTGATGTAAGTCCTGAAAAAGTCTCTGGCTTTTTTGGACCTAGTAGCCCCAAGATTTGAAAGGGTGCTAAAATAGGAACAGGACAGGAGAGAGGAATTGATGGCAACTTTGGTCCTAGGTGTGACATTCCCATCTGGAGAGATGCAGCAGGAGTTGGTCAGCTCTTTGTACAGAGAATGTGGTATCAATCCTGGAGAAGTGGAGTATGTTGAAGCTCATGGGACAGGCACCAAGGTCAGTAGGGCTCCTTTGGGTTTGGAATATTTCCTTCCTTATTTTCTTCCCTTGCATAACTTACTATGCTTTTCCATCAAATTATTCTTTGTTTTTCCAGAATGAACTGTATTTTTCCCATCTACCAGTTACTAGAATATGTACTGCTTCACTACTGTTGGATTTTGCTGAAACTTTTTAATGTTTCAGATTTGTTTTGTGGTGTGTTTTGGAAGTGCCTGCTAATAGTCAGTCTGATTCTCTTCCTATTAGGTTGGAGATCCGCAGGAAGTAAATGGCATTGTAAATGTCTTCTGTCAATGTGAGAGAGCGCCACTGTTGATTGGATCAACCAAGTCAAACATGGGCCATCCAGAGCCTGCCTCTGGGCTTGCTGCGTTGGCCAAGGTAACAGGTGGCTTGAGGAGGAAAACTGGGCAGGGGGGCAACACAACGGTGTGGGGTTTTCTCAATGTTTGTTTGTGTTAAGGAAAACTTGTATTGATCCAGGATAGCATGCTAAGTGGTAATGAGAACTCCTCGGGTGATTCTTGTTAATTATCTACTTCTTGCTTCAGCTGCAAATACTTTGAAAAGCTCAGGCGGATATTCTGCGAGCTGGACACGAATGCCCAGGTGGCCCTCTGCTGTGTGCACACACAAGTGTGCACATGCACGCACGCATGCTTTAGTTTCCCCTTCCTACTGAAATACAAGAGCATAACTCTGCTCAGAATAAAGGCTTTGGGATGACTTTATTGATTGTCCTTATACTGGACTTTCCAACAGAACTCTGCTGTAAGTCATTTGGGTTTGATGGGTGTACAAGTAGAGGGATTTAAATGTTTGGAGTAGTTGGCAATGACCAAAGAAGGCAGTGTGGGCTTTCAGTGCCAAAACAGTATCTGATCCTTCTGGCTGTTTGTCAGGGATATATCATCTCTTCCTCTACTCTCTTATGTTGGCATAAAAGCAGATGAGATCTTTGGATGAGGCTACCAGCTTGAATAACTGGTTGTCTTAGCAACTGGCCTGCTAACTACTGCTGTAGGCAGACAGTCATCTATTGGTTCTTGCTGCTAAACTGCTTAGCAGAGAGCTAGCTAATGTTTGCACTTGGTTGTAAGCCTATTACTGATAGCCTTAGAGCCATGCAAACTGAAGTCACGTACACCGTCACTCTACTTTAAAGTAGTTATTGTCACCTGAGTACATACAGCTTGCTATGAATAGCCTCATCTGCAAATAAATCATGGGGACAGCAGTATCAGTCTCTCTAGGGGAAAGTTTACTTTTTTTAGCACCTCTGTCTTTGACTCCTTCATAGAAGGAATGGTAACTGAGTTGTAAAATAAGCCTCTCCATCTATGCTGTGGTGTACATTACAAACACTTTAAGTGCAGTTCTGCTGTCATATGTCAGGACAGGATCATAACTTTGATCTGTTTCCCTGTCTGTTTCTTAAAGGATGCAGAACTGCAAAGACAAGGGCCACAATTTCTTTCTGAAGACTTCTCTGGCACTGTTTTCTCACTTTTTTTTTTGCCAGTTTTCTTACTTAACTTTGTATTTGAACTTGCAGCTGCAGGCAAGAGCCCATGGCGCCCATCATGCCTGCTAGAATATCTTTTTGCTATGCTTTTATTAAGTTGTGTTCCAAATCTGGCATCTTGAAAGCACCTGAGGGTTTGTAAGGGTATTGGAAGCTCTATCTCTGTTCTTGATTCTTTGAAAGTTGGGCAGCACTTGATATTTTAAGATTTGGAAGTTAATCAGAATGGCAGCTCAGGCATCCTTGAGGTCAAGCCAGAAACTGTCTAAGCCCCATGTCTCTTAAACAGTAACTGGTTTGCCATCTGCAGTTTCCATAAATGTTTTCTTTTGGAATTCCATAAAATGCTCTTATATGTAACATGTCAGTTAGGAAAATTCAATCTTGAAAGTATCTGTCTTCAGAATTGGATAAAAAATTATGTAGATAGGTAGGAAAGAAACTAGGGCTGGTCAAGGCCACTTTAGTTAAATTCTGGTAAGGGAGGGAAAACTCGTCTGCACCTCTGAACTACTCAGCCTGTCTAATTACTTGCAGCAAAGACAAAGCTTCTTGTTGGCTCTGGTGTACACTAACTGTACTGTACTCTCAAACTTCTGTAGAAACTGTGGCAGACTTAAAAGTACAAGCATGTATGTTGTGTAAAGCCACAGCAAGTTCATGGTGCATAGTATTGTAGGTGTAGGACAGTGTGCATGAAAATAAATACGTAGACTGCAACTGTAAGCATGCTGACTGGAGTTGGAGTCATGCATTTGTGCTGGTTGTTCTCCCAGGTGGGCTGCCATGTCTGATGATCAACTTGCAGCGACAGTTCCCAAACCAGTATGTTTCTCTGACCATTTTGTGGTGATGAAGGAGCTGCCAAACATACAGAGCACAGAGTGTTTGCAACTGACGTTGTAGTCTGTGATTTGCTGGACTTGTGCCACAGAGGAGTATGGGCTTGGTGTTGTGGGCTGTTTGTAGAGATGCTACTGAGAGAAAGGAGCTCTTGCTTTTTTGGCACACCTATTCTAACTCCCACAATGTTTCTGTACTTCTGTTTTGCTCTGGCTGTTCTGACCAGTCTGCTATTCCTGCTATTTTTGAATCAAGAAGACAGGAAATGGGTGCAAAGCAGCAAGCAAACTCCTTTACTAGTGCTTCAGCTTGATTCTTTTGCAGCAAAGGCAGAAATAGAAGCATTCATTGTGATAAGGAAGAGCATGTGTGGTGGTGTGTGACTAGGGAGAGATGGAGTGTGATGGAAGGGACAGGATCTGAAAGGGGAGGAAGAAGATGTGATATTCTTAGTAGTCAGGCTGCTTTTCCAGCAGGGTTGCATGGCTTTCCGGTTAGAAAGGGTCTGGAAGCTAAACTTAAAGCTACCACCCTCACCTTCACTGCTGACTTCCTGCATGGGCTTAAAATTTGCCTAGGTGAAGTAGGTACTACCTCAGTAATGTCACTAACGCTATTCTCTGAATCCGAACATAAATTGCTGCTTTAGTCGATGCTACATGGTCATTTACAGTAAAAGAATAACAACAAAAGAATGTTTGTTACAAGGAAATGTGGAGCACAGAACACTTTTTTTTTTTTCCTTCCAGGTCATTCTCTCTCTGGAACATGGGCTGTGGGCTCCAAATCTTCATTTCACTACCCCAAATCCAGATATTCCTGCCTTAAAAGATGGCTCTTTGGAGGTAGTTTGTAAACCAACACCAGTGAAAGGTGGCCTTGTCAGCATCAACTCTTTTGGCTTTGGAGGTGCTAATGCTCATGTCATTCTGAGGCCAAATAAGAACAAACACCAGCCTCTGGAGACTTGTAACACGCCAAGACTGGTTCAAATATGTGGCAGAACCCAGGAAGCTGTGGAAATACTAATACAAGAGAGCAGAAAGCATGGAGGATGCAGCCCCTTTGTAAGCCTGCTCAGTGATATCTCTGCAGTTCCTGTGTCTTCCATGCCCTACAGGGGCTACACACTAGTTGGTGCTGAGAGTGACATAAAAGAGGTCCAGCAGGTTCAAGCATCTGGTAGACCACTCTGGTACATCTGCTCAGGTAGGTGTGCAGCAGTGGGGCTGGGCTTCTGCATTCCTCTGTACATCTGGGGCTTAAGCAATGGGATTCTATGCTCTAATGTTGTTTTCCTAGCATGAGGAAATATCTTGCAGCTCTGTGATATGTCTAGGAGACTCATGTTTCCTGTGTCTTATCTAATCCTGACTTTTCTATCTTCTGATAATAGCAAAGTCTACAAAAATAAAAAGCTGTGCCTAATTTAGAGGCTGTCAGAAATGTACAATGTTTTGCTCTTAGATAGAATTCTTTCACTGCCAGAGCAAGTGTGTAATGTCTTCTTTTATGGAGCGTTACTAAAGCTCACTTTCTCCTTGCCTGTTCTGCAGGCATGGGAACACAGTGGAAAGGTATGGGCCTGAGCCTTATGAAGTTGGATTTGTTTCGCCAGTCTATATTGCGCTCGGATGAAGCTTTGAAGAACACAGGCCTAAAGGTCTCAGACCTGCTTCTGCAAGCGGATGAGAATACTTTTGATGACACTGTCCATGCATTTGTTGGACTAGCTGCTATTCAGGTAAGACTCAAATGACTGGTGGAGGACGTTATGGACTCAATCTACATAAGAATGCTCTGCTACTGTGTCTGTTTGGCTGGTAACACTTTATACAGATGAATGGAAGCTTGTTTTGTGTAATCAGCAAATGGCAGATGTCAGAAATATCTCTCTGATAGGAGGGAATGTGTTGTACCCTTGACAGTTTTGGGCTCTGCCATTTGCAAGATGCTTGGACAAATATTGATCTAAACTGATTTGTTTGTGAATGTGGGGCAGTTTCTCCTTTTAAGAGACTAAGGAATATATTTACGTTTTTTGTAAATGTTTGTGCCAAGAAACAAGGTTCCACTGAATATCTTCTAAAATCTGTTCTGCAGATGAACTAAATTGTGCTAAATGAAGTCTCTTTTAATTCTGAGTGTCAGTGTGGGATTCATTGTTTCTTAGTAGACTAGAGGTAGAGCTTTGAAAGTGGAAAGCTGGTCTTGCCTCTTACTTCATGCAGGCATGCTTTTGGCAACCTCCTGTTGTTGGAAATAGCTTCTTAGTGAAAAGCTGGATAATGGAGAGGCCCAAACAATGCTGGAGTCATGTAATGATTCTTGGGATTGCTTTGAAATGAGGCTGGAGCTGCAGTTGAGGGAAAGAAAAGCAGTGAGGCCAAGAAGAATGTCTGTACCAAAAAGCCATTTTGTAATGTACTCACTACTGCTGTATGCCTTTGAGGCCTGACATCTGGTTACTCTGGCATGGAATCGCTAATCCTGCTTTTCCTTGCAGATTGCTCAGATTGATATGTTGAAGGCTGCAGGTCTGCAGCCTGATGGGATTTTGGGCCACTCAGTGGGAGAACTAGCTTGTGGCTATGCAGATAACTCCTTAAGTCACGAAGAAGCCATTCTCGCTGCTTATTGGCGGGGACGATGCGTTAAAGAGGCCAAATTGCCCCCAGGAGGAATGGCTGCTGTTGGTAGGTATACCCTTACCAAAAGAGTAATACAGGAAAGTACATCTGATCTCTGTTGTATGGCACTGGGATAAAATTTGAGCTCTGAAATGTGTTGGTGGAGACAATCATGTCTGGGTTTTTTTGGCTACTCTTGCCTCTTCCTTTTCTTCTGATGTAGAACAGGTTATGGAATATTGAAGTTGATATAATGGTAGTAATCTCTGACCTGGAATACAGCAGAATTTTGGTAATCCTTCCAAAACTAAGTGGAAATGGAGGGATACACTGACAGATGACCAATGACAGAAGCCTGATCAATAATCTTAGAGAGGTGAAAATGTAAGGCACTGGGGATTTTGGCTCTTGATGTGTGTGTGTGCGTATGTATATACACACACATATATGTACATTTAAATCATTACAAGAAAAAAAGGGAGAGAGTTCTGATTTTTTTTGCAAGGGTAGTGAGATGTGAAACCAGTAAGCCACTATTAGGTAGTGGACAACAGGCTAGTGGAGCTTAATGCCATTAGAACTTAGTTGGGCCTAATAGCACTCAGGAAGAAGCTTTCTCCTGAACAAGATTTGGTCAGTGTTTCTGTAAGTCACATAGTTCTGCCTGCTGTGGAGTGAAATTTTGAGATTTGTACCCAACAGTTTTGCTTCATGGTGACTTTATGTTTAAAAATAAAATTGTTATTGGTAGCATTGTTGTTCTGTTTCTCATTATTGGACATAGTGGTCCATTACAAAACTGAAACACTTAAGAGAAAAACTGTTGCAGATCTAATGTGGTATGTTTGACTAGATCCCATGTTATAATCCTAGTCGTCTTTACTTTAACTAATGCTACAAAGGACTGCCTACCTAATTTAGCTTTTTTCTTTGATATTGAATACATGATACTCTTGTCACAGACCTTACATCAGAGTGCTGCATATAATGTTTTTCATAACCTGATGTTAAGTTCAGGTTCTTCCTGTGACTTGTATCCATGTAATGGATATTTTGTGGCCTGTCAGCTTGTGAGGCAAGCTCACATGTTCTTCCTCCTGTTGTAGTTCAGATTGCTAAGGGCAAGTTGAGACAAAACAACCAATTCTGTAGCTTCTTGGAAAGTGTGTGCGTTCCTCCCCAACCCTATTCCTTAATGGGCAGGTATAAAGATTCAGTCCTCTGTTCTTGTGCTCAATATCAATGATAAATATCACGTTAAAGCCTTGAGTTAAATATCCTTAACTTTTGCAGAATCACTTTTGGGGAAAGTGGGGATGTCTGTCTCAAGAATCCTTCCCAGTTCTGCAAAATGCTGAATTAAGTGCAGTGATTGTGCAGTTAATATTGCTTCCCCTTATGAGGCTTACTGCTAGAAACACTTGTGTTGTCCTGAGATCTTCTTTCTGCAGGTCTGACATGGGAGGAATGTAAGCAATGCTGCCCTCCAAATGTGGTACCAGCCTGTCACAATTCTGAAGATACTGTCACTGTTTCGGGGCCTCTGGTGAGCAAGGAACTGATATGGTGCATACCAGAGTTGTGATTGGGACCTGTGAAGTTCTAGTTTGAAGAAAGTGTGAAGCTGAATTAAAGCTCAGCCAAGGGGAGCTGGTGGGAGGGAACGTGATGCTTTCTATAAACTTAAACACTCAAATGTTCTGTAGGTGTTAGTGCCTCAGTAAGCTAGTGACGAAAGACCTCTTATACTGAGTAGTCTTATAACCATGGGCATAACAAGTGATAAATTGTAAGACTGAGAAGGGCAATAACCTCATCCCAGATGTGTGCACTTAAGTGGCAAGTGATGAAGGGTATGGCAGAAATATAGCGACTCATACAGATCCCAAATGCATTGTGAGCTTTTTATTTTGAGTTCACTTTATTCCTCTTCTTAGGACACTGTGAATGAGTTTGTAGCCAAACTGAAAAAGGATGGTGTGTTCGCAAAGGAGGTGCGCAGTGCTGGAGTTGCATTTCATTCCTATTACATGGCATCTATTGCACCAGTGCTGCTCAGTGCCCTGAAAAAGGTAATGCTAAACTATGGCTCACATGGCTTACGCTCGGGCACCTGGATTTGAGTATAGGTGATGTTGAGCTTAATGGGGTTCCTTTGTTTAGGAGAAGGAAATCTCTTGAAGAGCATGTAGACCTCTGAGACCTAAGGTTTGAAGTCCTATGGCCTCAAGCAGAAGGATGTCGTGAGCAATCAAGCTGAGAAAAATGGCCTGTGAAAAGGAGGGCCTGCTTGCTTTTGCCTGTCTTATCATCTATGATATGTAACTCTTCCTCACGTCCCTCGCTCTTCTCTGTAGGTCATTCCATATCCTAAACCTCGTTCAGCACGATGGATCAGTACATCTATCCCTGAATCTCAGTGGCAGAGTGATCTGGCTAGGTATTCCTCTGCAGAGTATCATGTGAACAACCTAGTGAATCCAGTGCTGTTCCACGAAGGTCTGAAGCATGTTCCAGAGAATGCTGTTGTAGTAGAGATTGCTCCGCATGCTCTTTTACAGGTATTGTATTTGATTGTGTCATTATGATACTATATTGATATGCTGCTGCAGGAAGGAGATTGAGGGTCTGAGTTCTAGGGAATACTGGTTTTTAGGTTGGGTTCCCCCCCACCCCTCTCCTTGTTCTGAGAACACTTTCTCCCTCCAGTACTTCTGAGTCTCTGTTTTTTAACATTTTCTTGATGGGTTTTTTTGTGGGGGTTTTGGTGTGATTTTTGGTGTGGTTTTTATTTGATGTGGGTTTTTTGTGGGGTGGTGTATGTAAAAAAAAAAAAAAAAAAACCAAACCCACACCAAAACACACTACTGCTTCCTGATCCAGACATTCGTATTCTTGCCTTTATTTATTGCCATGCAGTTCAGATATCTGATAGTCAGCTCTCTGAACTGTGCAATGAGTAAGAAAAGCATTGTATTGTTTAGATGTAATGCAAAAATTGGAGTGGGGGGAGAAAATAAAGATGAGCAGGCCTTCTCTATGAAAAATCTGTTACCACTATCTGTACACTGAACTTGGTTTGAGGTTCTTGTCTTAGAAGGTGGTGGCTGGTAGGGGTGTTTTCCCCTCTTCTCCTAGACCAAGTAGTCTGAGACCACAGGAGCTTGCTTTCTTCGTAAACTCCTTTCCCTTAATGATCATATCATTATTCCTTTCTCCCCACCCTGTAAGAATTGATCTTTATGGAACTAGCTCCATAGTAAGTGATGAAGAACATGAGGTACATTAGGATGCACTTGCTCCATAAGATCAGTGCTATGGTCTTTTGTCTGTCCTTTAAATCTCAAGGACTGGTTTTTTTTCTTTAGTTGGTGGCATGCAAGAGGTAAAAAGTCTTAAGAAGAATCATAGCTGCTTGTGAATAAAGTTTAGTAGTTATACAGTGCTGCTGAGTTCCAATCCAGTATGTATTTACTACATCATATTAGTCTTATTTATGCTTTGAAAGTGACTGACTTGAAGGGAGAATCGGACCAGAGCTTTTAAATTAGGCAGATATTTTTCTCTGTAAAAAGATTATACACTTCATGTTAAAATCATTGTATAATTCTGGATTCTAATGCAAGTGACTAAAGACTTTATCAGCTGGGTTTGAGAGTGTTCTGGTTTTTTTCTTCCCTCCTCTTCTCCCATTTAAAAATTGTGGGATCAGATTGAAGAGAAGATACAAGTTGGGTCAGAAGTTCAAGGCTGTGTTTTTTGATTTAATAGCTGTTGCTTGGAAAAAGCTGTAGAATGCTTCAGACTAAAAAGGGCTGCTCCTGGGAGTAAGGGCCTAAGCTGCATGGCGGGGTGGGGGGTGTGAGAGTGGGAGGCTTGAGAGGGTGATCTTGCTGGTCTTGAAGTGCAGCTTTTGATTCTACTTAACAGTCTGCTTGGGAAAGGGAGACTTGTCTTTTGGCAGAATTTAGTTAAAATTACATAGGTTCTGCTTTACCAGATGTGCAACTTGTTGGATTGCTGGAAGGGTATTGTGCTGCTCTTCCTCTTCACTGTTAAAACGGTGTACGTTTCAGCACCTAGCATGGAACTCTTGGCACAGAAACAAGAGTGATTTGAGATCTATAGAGAAAAATTCAGAGACAAAGTAGTAAATAATGCCTTCCGCCAGTGATTTATGGACTCTACTTGACAGGCTATCTTGAGGAGAACATTGAAACCAACTTGCACCATTCTACCTTTGATGAAGAAAGAGCAGAAAAATAATTTGGACTTCTTCCTAACACAGATTGGAAAGATTCATTTAACTGGGTAAGGTGACTAAGGGAAGAGGGTGAGTGGGGTATTGGTTAGGAAAGAATTCAAGTTTCTTCTCTAGCATGCATGTCTTCACAAGGATTGAAATACTCCTTCAACAAAGCTGGAAAAAAATGAGGTTTACATCTGCACTTTACGTATTTAACATGTTCACTTATGAAATGTTGCCTTGCGTTAGACTGCATGGGCTGGGAGGGTGCCTTTTAAAGAGCAGTCGCATTTTAGAGGCCTAGTAACCTGGAACTAGCTCTTGGAAATAAACTTTGCATCTTGTAGACTGTTAGAATTAAAAATTTGTCTATAGTAAGTGTTCACAGTACTCTGGAGAAATCTCAGACATGGAGCCCAAGACCAATTACTGTCTGACCCCTAAGTATTATGGTCAATTCCCACCCCTCAACATTGTGTTGATCCTTTGTCTTCCTAGGATAAATGTTCTTGGAAACAACTTGTTCCCACTGGTGGAATACCCTGTCCCAGTGGGAACACCCCTTATTTCCCCATACATCAAATGGGACCACAGCCAGGACTGGGATGTTCCAAAAGCTGAAGACTTTCCAGCAGGTTCCAGAGGCTCTGCATCTGCTTCAGTCTACAATATTGGTGTGTGTGCTGGCTTGTCTTTTTTGTTTGTTTCTTTCTTTCTTTCCTGCTTTACCTCTGCATTTCTCTTGTAAAACTAGGAAAAGGATACTCAAAGCAGCATCCTTGAAGCCGTCTTCTGAAGCTTAATGTTTGGTTTGGTTTGGGTTGAAAAAGACTAGATCAGCTTCTGAAATAGGATGAAAAAATATGAACAGAGCAGGAAACTGCCTTGATTCATTCTACAGTAGTTTTAAGAGCTGCATGTTGTCAGGCAGGATAGCTGGGGAAACCACTAGAACCTCTTCTAGACATTGAGAGGAGAAGACCTCTTTATTATTTATTCTGCTCTTTGACAGATGTGAGTCCTGACTCTCCTGACCACTACTTAGTTGGTCACTGCATTGATGGCAGAGTCCTGTACCCAGCAACTGGGTACCTAGTACTGGCTTGGCAAACTCTGGCACGGTCTCTTGGCATGGCCATGGAGCAAATGGCTGTTACGTTTGAAGAAGTCACAATTCATCAGGCAACTATCCTTCCCAAAAAGGGTGAGTGAGGAGTGCTGGTATGACTGCAAAACTGTGTAAATGGAGATGAAGGGAGTGGGAGGAGAGAAACACAAGGGGAAAGTGAGACGGAATACAGGAGAGGCTACGAAGAGTACAACGTGACTGAATAAAGTGAATTCATACAGTTAAGTAAGCACATGTAATGGCAGTCTTTGTTACGTGTTGTGCACAGTGAGTCTGGAGATAGTGAAAGAGAAAGCTCTGCTTGAGGATGGTAACAGTGAATGACCTCACAGTCCTGTCTTCCTCAATGTTTCTTGCAGGATCCGTACAGCTGGAAGTAAGACTCATGCCTGCTTCCCACTGGTTTGAGGTGTCAGGGAATGGGAATCTGGCTGTGAGTGGTAAGTGAAGGACGTGTAAGTGTATCCTACTAAAATCCATTGTTTATGGACACTGATTCTTATTCTTGCCACTGTGCCCATCAGGGAAGATTTCCCTCTTAGAAAACACTGCTCTGAAGAACTTCCATAATCAGCCAGTTGACTTTCAGACTCAAGTAGACATAAGCTCGAAGTCTTGCCTCTTGAAAGAAGACATTTATCAAGAGCTGCATCTGCGTGGATATAATTATGGACCAACTTTCCAGGGTGTTCTGGAATGCAACAGTGAAGGTGAATTTACTTTTTATAGGAGAATGATGAGTATGGTTATTGTAATGATGAATATTTGATCTTTTAATTCCATTTGTATTAACAGTCCACCTGGCTGTGCTTTGTATGGTAATTATAATTTGTGTGATAATGGAGAACAACTAAGAGCTCTGACAGAGCATTGGGAAAGCTGTTATCTCCGATGTAAAACTGGCTGTTGGAGTTTACAGGGGAAGCTGGGTACATGCAGTGGACTTCGTGTTTAGTAAGTGGTGACTTCTGGCATCTGCTGAATGACAAAATCACAGCGAGGCTTCCCCTTTTTCTGCAGCAAGCACAGGGAAGGTTGTGTGGAATGGGAACTGGGTAACCTTCCTTGACACCCTGCTACACGTGATAATCTTAGCTGAGACTGGGCGCAGTCTACGATTACCCACCAGGATTCGCTCAGTGTGTATTGACCCAGTGCTGCATCAAGAACAGGTGTGCCAATACCAAGACAACGTAGAAGGTAATTTCTCTTGTGCTTGGGCTTTTACTAGTTGCTTTGACTGTTGTGTGGCTGGATGTATGGCTTCCTAAGAAGTAGGATGAACTTTAGGAGTCCCTCTTAGTCTCCAAGCTATTCTGCAGGTCTGTAACAGATGCTGCCATTCTGCACTGTCTGTACCAGTCTGACGTAGCACCGTTCACATGTTCACTTTGAATAAAATACTTGTAGTGTTGGATGCAAACTTACATTTCTTATGTTTCTTTCCTGTCTTTCAGCTTTTGATGTTGTTGTGGACCATTGTCTTAATAGTGTTAAAGCAGGAGGTGTTCAGATCAATGGTCTTCATGCTTCTGTGGCACCACGACGACAACAGGAACGGATCCCTCCCACCCTGGAAAAATTTTGCTTTGTGCCCTATACTGAGAGGAACTGTTTGTCTTCCAGTGTTCATCTTCATGCCTATCTGGAGCACTGCAAAGGTAGAATGGGATTTGGTTTCTTGTTACGCTAGGAGAATCTTCCAGTGTGACCAAGATACCTGAGAGAAGCTGTTCCTACTACTTTGGAACATCCAAGAAATAAAGTATTGATCTCTGTAGAAGCAGGAGTCCTATGTTTGTATGCTTGCTAGAAGAAGCTAAAAGCTACTTCTGCCTGAGGTATCTCTAGAATTGTGGGTAGGAGTAAAGCCATGGGGAGGGACATCTACCTTTCTATGACAGTCAATGCAGCGTCAGATAGCACAACCCCCTGTTGTGGTTTAACCCCAGTCAGCAACTAAGCCCCACACAGCTGCTTACTTACTCCCTCAAGTGGGATGAGGAATTGAATCGGAAGGGTAAAAGTGAGAAGACTCCTGCATTGAGGTAAAGACAGTTTAATAGGTAAACCAAAAGCTGTGTGCACAAGCAAAGCAAAACAAGGAATTCATTCACTCCTTCCCATCAGTAGGCAGGTGTTCAGCCATCCCCAGGAAAGCAGGGCTCCATCACACATAATGGTTTCTTCTGAAGAGAAATGCTGTAACTCTGAATGTCCCCCCCCTTCATTCTTCTTCCCCAATCTTATATGCTGAGCATGATGTCATATGGTATGGAATATCCCTTTGGTCAGTTAAGATCAGCTGTCCCAGCTGTATCCCCTCCCAGCTGCTTGTGTGTGTAACCCCAGCCTACTTGCTGGTTGGGGTGGTGTGAGAAGCAGAACAGGCCTTGACTCTGTGTAAGCCCTGCTCAGCAGTAATGAAAACACCTCTGTAGTGTCAATACTGTTTTCAACACAAATCCAAAATGTAGCCCCACACGAGCTGCTATGAAGAAAACTAGTAACTCTATCCCAGCCAAAACCAGCACGCCCACTCTGCAAACAGAGAGGCACAAATCATCTCCTATAAGGAGAAATCCAGCCTAGTTGCTTCAAACACTTGACAGGAGGGCCTACTTCCTCAAGTCTTTAGCTTTCTTGTTTTGTTTTTCCCTGTGAACTGCTAGGATGGGTAAGCTGACAAGTCTTTTCCCATTAGGTTGTGGGCACAAGATCATATCCAAGGAAGGAAAGTGGTTTAGTGAGGCACAACAAAAAGAAGTTTGTGTTTGCTGCAGGAATAGAATAGGAGCAGCTTTAGTCTACTGTGAAACTGGTAGCCTAGTATGGTGCTCTTTGGATGGGGTGGCATCCACTCAGCTCATCGCTTTTAAGTGCCTTTTCATCAAAGGGGAAAAAATTACAATATTTCTCTTTTTAAGTTTTTACTCTAGTGATGAATCTTGCTGTACCTTGAGACAGCAATTTTGTCATTCTGTATTGGTAAAGTGTCTTCACACTTATCCTTTGATTTGGTAATAGATTTTAAAGGCTTGTTTTGGTTTTTTTTCCTGCAGTGCCTGAATACTGTACCCAAAGTTTTTACATATGCTATAGTGGGATTTTTATTTTTCAAAATGCTGTTTCTGATCTTGGTCAGGATGAGCTCTTTTCCATCTGGTTATAAAGCAAAAAAGCATTTTAATATTTTTGTATCTGCAGAAGCTTACAATTTCCCTCCAAAACTCTCGAAATCAGAAGTTTTCTGTTAGTTGCCCTCTCTTCAGTCAGTGTCTTACCATAGGCAATTTTGGGTTTTCAGACTGTCTTCCTACAAAGCCTGCTTGATTGGGAGCTGCAACTACTGCACAATACGTAATTGTGTGAATGTACAGGAGCATGTACTATATCTTTGTGGCTAGGCTAATGGTATAAGGTGCTGTAATTTGTGGTGGTGATCAGCTGGTATAGCAAATGTAGGCAAAGGGGAAAAGAAAAAATCTTTGGAAAGTCTGACTCTTCCTTTCATTTTTCCTTCTATTCCATAGATCTAATCCAGAACCTACAGGCTAAGGTGTCGGTGCATGGGGTCAAATTAGTCATCCCTGGACTAGAAACTGCAGTGGTTGCTGCGGAGTCCTCACCTGTGCAGAAGGGCCTTCAGCATATCCTTGCTGAAATCTGCCATCTGGAACTGAATGGAAACCTCCATTCTGAGCTGGAACAGATCGTGACTCAAGAGAAAATGCACTTCCAGGATGACCCCCTTCTCAATGGATTGCTAGATTCTTCAGAGTTAAAGACTTGCCTGGATGTGGCATTGGAGAACATGACCAGTCACAGGATGAAGATAGTAGAGGTTAGCTGGAAGCCCAGGATGGGACCATAGCTAGTGTTTCTAGGCCTTCCAGTAACCTGATCGCATACTTCTATTGTTCCACTTACAATTTTGGATATCAGTCATGTTTCAACTTCGTTTCCCCTTTTCCTTCTTCCTGTTTTCTCGCAGGCTTTTGCAGGAAGTGGACGTCTGTTCTCTCGTGTCAAAAGTATTCTGAATACTCAGCCCCTGTTGCAGGTGGACTACATTGCCACTGACTACATCCTGGAAACTCTTTCATCTAGTGAAACAGAGCTACAAGATGCTGGAGTTTTGTTTAGCCAGTGGGATCCATCTAGCCTTCCCTCTGGAAATCTGACCAATGCAGACCTGGTGGTATACAACTGTTCAACAAGTGCTCTAGGGAACACAGCTGAACTTCTTTCTAATTTGGCAGCTGCAGCAAAAGAAGGAGGGTTTGTTTTGCTGCACACCCTTCTTAAAGGAGAAACTCTTGGAGAAATTGTCAGTTTTCTCACAAGTCCGGATCCACAGCAGAAACACAGCTTTCTGAGTGAGGTAAGCCTCCTGGAAGGACAAATAACTTTCTCAGTGGGTAGTCTGGAGTCTGCTGCTTGCAGATGCTTTTGTGATGAACGTTGAGTAGGCATCACTTACATCACTTGCTATTGAGGGCCTCTGCAGGAATATGTAATAAACACTTCAGAAGAGGAGTTGTGAATTTGCAATATTTGGTTGGGAGAGTAAACTGAATTAAGTCAGGAAAACCTTTCTTAATGCGTTGAAAATTATTAATTGTTGCTTGTGTATCTATGTAATTGCATGAAAATGCTGGCCAAGACAATTCCTTTATAGCTAAAATAATGTGCTGCATTATTGGGTGGGGTACAGCTTTATCACTGTTGAATCCCAATATGCTTCAGTATAAGAATATCTGTCTTGCTTTTGATATCACTGCTGGGAGTGAGAGTTTACAAACTAGTTAAGTTCTTCTAACACTGAAGTGTTCCAAGAAAGGAAGGCTATTCTCTGGTACTTTTATTTTTATTTTTTTTTCTTCCTCCTTCCTTCCCTTCCTCCCCACTTTACCTGATCCCATAACAAGATACAGCAAAATAAGCTCTTGGAAATGAGGGAGAGCAGGGCAGGGTGTCCATTTTATATCTGCAAACCAGTATGTCATGCAGCTGAACGAATGCCAATGCTGGCAGAAGAAGAGGAGAGTGAATGGCTAGGGCAAGGGTGGGAGCTGGAACATCACCTTCTCTTAGCAGCTGTTAGACTAAGCAGTAATGGGAAACTGCCCCTCTACACAACATATGCATTCTTCCTGATTTGAGGGGCTGTAGCCTCTCGGCTCTTCTTTTAGAATAAGAAGAGAGTAGCACTTCTAATAGGTTAACTTTTTTGTTTATAATTCTGGTGGTTTGGTCGTTGGATTTTGAATTTTGCAATGACATGAATTCTAGCCCTTCACTTCCTGCAAAGACTTTTCAAGGAGAATTGAGAATAAAGGGTGAGTTCTTTGGGTTTTCATCTTACCCAGTAAAGAAGAGGATAAAAAGAAGACTGTGAGATGCTACAGAAGCCGATAACTTTAAAATCTAGATCTACCATAAGTATCAGTAGCCTGGTATTAGCAAATTGCTTGGATAAGATACATGTGAGTCAAATGTACCTTCTCTAAAGAAAATTATACGATACGATGCAGATGAGTGTGCAGGACTTAATACAGTTCTTGGAGTTTTATAGACAGGGACACTGTCCCTAGCCCTTGCTATAAGGGATCATTCTGAAAAACCTTCTGCTGTTTTGTGCCTGGCATACAAAAAGCAAATGGATGCTGTTCTAACAGCCTGCAGTCATCTTTATTTCATTCAGATAGTAGAGCCTCAGTGTTTCTGGATATGCCTTACATGCATTTTCATTCTCTTGTTTTTCTGAAATGCTGTTTCAATGTAATGTATTTCTATAGGTGCTTCTTCCCTGCTAGTGGTTTCTTCCTTCTCCCCACTCCACTGCAGCTGAAGGATTTGTGTGGCTTGGTCTGTCATGTTTCCTCTATCCCACTTTACTTTTTCTATTGCAGACAGGGCTTATGTAACATAGACTGATAACAGAAGTGGAACATTGAGTTTAGATGTTATTTTCTGTGTTGGAATCTGATATAGTGTTTGTCTGTGGAAGTATGCCTTACTGCTGGAATTAAATTCTAGACACATTCAAATACCTATGGGATTTGACAGCATGGTTGTTGCTCATGGTTTTTTGTGCACCTGGTAGTGTGGTAAGACTAGTTCCCTAACCAGGGCTTCGAGATACTTCTACTACTGCTTTTTTTTTTTCATCTAGGAGAGAAGGAATAGTCTAGACAAGGATAAAATACTGTTATGTTAATCAAATATATATTTGTACTGAGATGATATAGAACAGATGCTAAGATTTCAAGAAAAAGCAAGAAAGAGGTGGACAGTGCCTGTTGTGCCTAGTGAAGCTGTCTTTGAGGAGACTCAACATGAAGTATAGATGTGACTTGTATTTTTAATTGGCTTTGACTTTCCTGTTAATTGTTGTTTTACCTGATTTGACAGGCACAGTGGGAGAGCTTATTCAGCAAAGCCTCACTGAATCTCGTTGCCATGAAGAAGTCATTTTTTGGCTCAGTTATTTTCCTATGTCGCCGGCAAGCCCCTGCGAAAACACCCATTTTTCTGCCAATAGATGAGACCCATTATAAGTGGGTTGAATCCTTAAAGGTGAGGATTCCTGTGTTCTGGATATCTGAATTTCCAAAGTTATACTTTCTAAGTGATACATTTAGCAGTGTTAAAAGAAGTGTGTGTAACTTTTCTTAAAATAGAAGTTACTCCTATCTGCCTTGAGGATATGAGGGCTATTTCCTTTCTCTGGTTCCTAGTAAAACAGTTTGGCGTTTTTCCTTTAGGAGGTCTTGACTGACCCATCGGAGCAGCCTGTGTGGTTGACTGCCACCAGTTGTGGGAACTCGGGAATTTTGGGCATGGTGAACTGCCTCCGCCTTGAAGCAGAAGGCCATAGAATCAGGTATGTAAGCATGCCCTTGAGTCAGTTGGAGATAAGATTTTTTTTTTTGTTACCTTCTTGTCAGGCCAGTAGCAAAACAAAATAACTCTTGGCTGCTTAGGTGTGTGTTCGTTTCCAACTTGAACCCTTCATCAGCTGTCCCACCCATGAGTCTTTCTTCCCTGGAGATGCAGAAGATTGTTCAGAGGGACCTGGTGATGAATGTGTATCGTGATGGAAAGTGGGGCTCCTTCAGGCATCTCCCGTTGCAGCAAGGTAACTCCTTTAATGCCTGAGGATCACTTGCAGGGCCTTGAGTCTGAATCGGCTTTGAGTAGAAAATGACGAGCTATTGTTCCTACAATTATTTTTTTATTGTTATTTTCTAGTGGGATAATTAGAAATTCTGCTCCAGCTCAGTCAACAGTAGCATGCTCTGGTGCCAGGAGGAGGGATGAGCTATTTAGGGTATGGGTAGTATTGCAGGGTAAGAAGGGGCTTTCTGGAGGGGAAATGGAGGAGAAGGTAGCAATTGTACAAGGGATTTACTCATTCTGGAAAGTGTGTGCCTGTGTTAATGTATGTAAAGTTCTTATTGTTCCTCCTTCTGCAGCACAACCTGAGGAGTTGACAGAATGTGCCTATGTAAATGTGTTAACTCGTGGAGACCTCTCATCTCTTCGTTGGATTGTCTCTCCACTTCGACACTTCCACACAACTAATCCCGACGTTCAACTCTACAAAGTCTATTATGCGTCTCTCAACTTCCGGGACATAATGCTGGCAACAGGAAAGCTTTCTCCAGATGCCATCCCTGGTGAGCTAGAAGAAAATGTATTTATATATTACTGTTCTAGAATTTATTCACATAATCTCTTGAACATTAGTTACGCAGTGGCTAAAGCGTATATCTGTTTAGCAAGAAAGTGTACTCTTTGAAAAGGAAGTATAGCCCTGCTGCAGGACTGTGCACCTAAACTCCTACTTCCAGTTGCATTTTTCGTATGGCAAAATTAATAAGCCTTGCTGTGAGAAAACATCAGTAGCCCCATTGCGTAGATATTGAGCATGAGGTGAAACAACTTAATGGAGGTTCCAGAGATGTACCTTGGGGTACATACCAAGGTGAGAATGTTGCGGTTCCGTGCTGCCGTGCTACTGGACATGCATTACTTTTGTGGAAGAAAAACACAAGGTGAAGTAATCTTCCGTCCACAAAATGGAGGTGATAATATCTTGCCTCATAGTGAGTTAAGAATTAATGTGATGTCTATTAAATGGTTTTAAAGTTCTATTTAAAGGAGGAGGGGGCGGAACTTGAAAAAAAAAAAAAAAAAAAAAAAATTCGTTTGGGAGTTCTTATGGGTGACTTGACTAGGGCTTCCCTTCGTGACTGAGATTAGTCTCTGTCTAAAATGAGTGTTTGCAAAAATTACAGTTTCACAGTATATTTTTGCTGTGATCATGCTTTCTAGTTTATGTATCAGTCTTCAGAGGAACAAAATTGTCTCTGAAACAAGATGTTTCTATGAAATTTCTTGGATGAAAGCTGGAAACTAAAACAATGTCATCAAGAGCGAGATTTAATGAGACCAAGTTCTCTTCCACTACTTCTGTAGCGATAAACTAACTGACTTATGAACTGTGTACATAGTAGATAAATCCCAGCACTTCTTCTGTCTCTGGGGTCCTAACTTTCAGGGACTACTGTTGCAGTAAATTCTTGACTGAGGGATTTTAGAAGAGAAATTTCATTTGTAAAAAATGCTAAAATTCTACAGTGGCCTGCAAGAAAGATGGAGGCACTCTTTATCAGGGAGTGTAGTGACAGGATGGGGGGGTGGGGGGTGGGGTAATGGTTTCAAACTGAAAGATGGTAGATTTAAATTGAATATTAGCCAGAAATTCTTCACTGTGAGAGTGGCGAGACACTAAAACAGGTTGCTCAAAGCTGTGGATACCCCATCACTGGCAGTGTTCAAGTGGATGGGGCTTTGAGCAACCTGGTCTAGTGGAAGGTGTCCCTGCCTATGGCAAGGGGGTTGGAACTAAGGCGATCTTTAATGTCCCTTCCAACCCAAACCATACTATGATTCTTTTCAGGTAACTGGGCTTTGCAGCAGTGCATGCTGGGCATGGAGTTCTCGGGACGAGACCTGGCTGGAAGAAGAGTGATGGGATTGCTGCCAGCAAAAGGGCTGGCTACAGTGGTGGACTGTGACAAGAGGTTTCTGTGGGAGGTGCCTAAAAACTGGTGGGTCAACTGTGTTCTGATTTGTGTGTGTGTGGCCAAAATTTGTCTTCCTGCTTGAGGCTGATGACAGCCCTGATCAGACCAGAGTACTGCATGATAGGTAGATTCCCCTTGGAAACGATAACAGAGCTGTGGTCTCCTGAGCAGCTGCAGGGTTTGGCTTAGATTCACTGCAGGAGTTGAGTGATAGTTTTTGTACAGTGGCTTGCACAATGCTTTCATCTCTTTCTTGGGTTCTTAGCCCCATGTGTTTCAGCATATACTGGGATTTTGGTGTTGGTTATGTTACTAGTTAGTTACTGAAATATTTTTGCAGAAGGATGAAACTTGACTGTGCTTGGTAGCTGTGATAGTCTGCTGTATGATTGAGAACCATTTATACTTTTTGATCTATCTCAGCAGTTTAACCTTTCCATTGCAGAAAAGCAGATTTCATCAGGAGAATCTAGGAGTCTTTTTTTCCAAGGCTGAAGATATCTTCTGTCTTTCACTTTGCTTCTTAGGACTCTGGAAGAAGCAGCTTCAGTGCCTGTGGTTTATGCCACTGCTTATTATGCTTTAGTGGTTCGAGGTGGTATGAAGAAGGGTGAGAGTATCCTTATTCACTCTGGCTCAGGAGGTGTCGGACAAGCAGCCATTGCCATTGCCCTGAGCATGGGCTGCCGTGTGTTTGCTACTGTGGGTGAGTACTGAGGGCCCAGTGTTATGGGAGGAAAAAAATTATACATATATATATATAATATTTTTATATATAA